TGCGAGCGAGATATAATTTATCTCTTTTTATTTAATCTCTGAATTCCTTCCCCCGCGAAACTTCCGTTTCAAAACTTCAAAATAATAATTGTAATAATGTAAAATAATAATAATATGTAATATAGATTATTTATCATTTATTTATCTTTTCTTATAACTCCACAACACGCTTTTAGAACATAATGTCCATAATATAAAATTTTGATATTTATGGATTTTCTGGCAACACTCAATGAGTTCATTTTTCAACGAACGTAAACATGAACGCTTTCACTATTTTAGAGAACGTTCCAAACGTTCTCAGAAATTCGGCTACCTCATACAGTCACTTCATGAGCTCATTTTGTAACTTAATTAAAAATAACCCTCGATAACTTAATTGTTATAAAATATTGTTAGGCAGATAAGAGGATGGACAATTTGTTCACTTCTTCTGTGGGTTTTTTTTTCTCGTTATCCAAACGAGAGAAAAACTTATTAATTCCATAAACCATAACCTGTAATTTTATGATTTCTCGGTTCAAATAATAGCTTATACAATATTATAAGTAGCTATACTAATATACGAATAATATTATTGTATTGTATTTATGCATTGTAGAATTTTAAAGATTTATATTATATATGTATGTAATGTTAATGGGTATAACTGAAAAAATCAGTTTCTTCATAGACGTAAATACGAAAATTGTTATCCTTGTATGTATTTTCGATTTAGTTTAATGAATACATTATTAATATTATTAATACAATTAACGTAGCGTGTCAATAATAAATCATAGTTTAATATGTTTATTTTATGTTTACGTTGATTACACTAATTGATTGTTCCAGACGAAAATTGTATTCAATTGTAAAATAAATAATTCGTTATAGGCTATACAGTTTTTTGGATTTTACATTATTTCTCTGTCATTTTTTATCCTGTGATGTTTGTGTGATATTCAAAATTGAATTTTTTTTTTTTTTTTATTGCAGTAAATAGGTAAGTATTTGCCTAATTATTAAGTTCGCCGATTTAATGAGTATTAGGCAAGTTGATTTTTTTTCAGAAAAAACACTGCACGGATACAACAGAATAAAAATATGAAATATGTTTTATCGTAATATTATTTTCAGTCCCGTTTAAATTATTGTATTGCTCTCAGTCCTAGAATATAGTATATTTGGATACCAAAATAAAACTAGTTTATATTTCAAGAAAAACAATAATAATAACTTCTCTACATTAATTTGTTTAGATGACGATGCTGGTGACTACAAGTTTACTTAAAGGTAAGTTGCATTGCTATTAATATTATTATTTATGTTTATTGTATCTCCAAGACTGTTTTACTCCCAATTCTCTAGCTATCCAAATTTAGCTATCGTTAAAATAGTCTGATTTTGTCCATCTACCGTTAAAACTTCAGCATTAATTATTTACTATGCCTTTCTACCTTCAATCCTCGGCCTTCCCAAAGATTATTTTTCTATTTTAAACGTTTTCCGCTTTTTTAGTGTCTGTTTTTCCTTCCTCTACTGCACTCTATATTTAAAAGGCTATTCCTGACCACGTTACAAAACGAGTCAATATTTTTAATTTTATCCATCCAAACAGTTTATGAAGGTAAGAAATAAAAAACACGTGTATTATTCATAATTCTATACAAAATCATTATATTTAAAATGCAAACGAAAAGTTATCATGCAAATGTTTGTCACGTGATAACGCCTAGAATTGTGTCTAACCTACCCGTATATTGTTGAGAAATACCTTCGAATTCAATTAAAGAATAATAATATTATTGCAATTTTTTGCAATTTTTGCGATTTTTTTCTATTGAGTACAACTGAAAAATAGCACAAAAGAAACGAGAAAATACGCATTCAAATTATATGCTTTGTTATAAATTTGAATGGGGTACAGAGGGTGTAGAATTACCTACCTACGTGATTTAATATTAAATAACTCGGAGAAGCCCAACTCAAAATTAGAGCGGTAATTTCCATTCAATTTTCTTTCTCGAAGATGTATTATACTCTACGTAACTTGTAAATTAGTATCCACGTGACCGTGTATAGAATAATGTTTGTAAAACTTTAAGTAATTAGAAACAATAAAATAAATTCTTAAGAATATACCTAAATATCATTTTTATAAACATTACACATGATATTATTACCATGTAGTTTTCTATGTTAATGTTCATTGGTCTCTTTTATTTCAAGTTATAGTTAATTGTCAGGTTTGTATAATATTGTATTATTAACAAGTGAAAGACAAATTTGCTTGAACTCAATTTAATAGAATGTTTTTGACGTTTACGAGAATCGATGAGAAAAAACCTATGTTAAATGTACTCAGCTCTCGAAAACATATAGATCTGTATTGTAGTAACTTAAAATTAAAGAAAAAAGAAAGACGTAGAAATTATACGTCTAAAAATGGGTCAATTTTGGTAACATAAAATAGGAAAAACTTTGTATTAATGACAAAATCCTCACTTTATTCGTGATAACACAAAGTATCATTCTTAAATATGTCAAAAGTTCAGCTTAATAATTATGTTACTACCTTCATCCTCATGTTTGAAGAAATTCGGAGTCATTAATCCGAAAAATGTGAAGAGATCAATAAACGAGAAATATAATATTATTTTACTAGCCCACGGTGTTTAAACATTAAAGTATATCCCTATAAACAAGGATAAAGTTATTTATCCATTACAATAACCCTAAACTTATGAGGACAATAGTACTATAGTGTTGTTGCTGTACCAAAAAATACAAAAATTCAAGGATGATGTTTTACGTGTCTTGACTTATCACTTATCCTCCCAGTACAGGGCATTTTTTTGTTTTTTTTTCCATTCATGTTACTAAAGTATTCCATCCTATTTCAAGCCAATAATAGATCGGCAGATAGACAGATAGACTATTTTTTTTAAAGGTTGTAGTTGTTATGGCATTTTTATTTTTTTGTTTTCATTATTTTTTTCCCCTCTATAATTCAACAAAAATAATTTAATTTTCGTACCAAAAATACCTAAAACCTTTACATCCCTTATTTCATCTCTTTCAAGTTTTATTTTCTTGACAAAAAGTAACCTATGTTTTTCTCCAAGGCCACATCTATCTCTATACAAAAATTCATCAAAGTCAATTCCGTAAATTTTGCATGAAAGAGTAACAAACATCTATACATCCATCATCATAAACTTTCACAATCATATTATTAATATGATTAATTTTTAGATTCTGAATGTAGCAAAGAATGTATTGGTTTTATAAAGATGTTTATTTTTTTTTTTATGTGAACACTTTTTCTACCAGAAAGCTTACTTTAATTGTTAAGCATAGCACTTTTTATAAAAATAAATGTTCTCTCATGTATATTGTTGACAAAGCAATATTATCTACTGAACTCCGCTCAGAATCGTTTTTTCGTTAGCAATTCTTTATTGTTGCATTCAGATATATATTAAATTCTCGTCTGTCTCCTACAACCAGGCACGTATACAGGGGGTGGGGTTTCAACTCCCTCCCTCGAAAATTAACAGCTGTGTAATTTATTTATATCAATTTAATATTTTTTTTTTATAAATATTGATAATAATAGTAAATATATTGATTATTTTTAATTTTTTATGAACGACCCCCCCCCCGAATTTTTTTTGTGTACGTGTCTACCTACAACAATGACTGCACCAACGTGTGAAATATATCCGTCCTTATTTAAATAGAGAATAACTATTATTCAGCTGCATTTGAATCCTTTAGTCACACTGTTTAAATAATAAAAACAATAAATTGTACATGGATGAGCAATGAGCAATGAGCATAACATCACAGTATTAGCGCAGGATTTGTAGCTATGAGGAACGGCATTATTTGTCATCTCTGCCGGTGAATTCGGTAAATATGTTTTCTAGACTTTGGCCAAGCATAAAATATACCCGTTATTATTATTAATCAATATGATGCTCGTATATTTTGGGTGTCGATGAATAGACAACTAAATTCCGTCCACGTACAAACCTGGAATGAATAAATCTAGATGGTACAAACAGGGATGGTACATATCTGGACGGCACAAACCTGAAAAGTAGACATCTAGAGTGCACGTATAATATGAAATGTATAAATCTAGACGGTACACATCCAGACCGGAAAATTCTAGACGTATATATCTAAACCGTACATAATACCTGGTACGTATAAATCTGTAATAGACAAATCTATTCTTCTAGAATATTGATTATGGCTGTTTCCAAGCTATAAACAAGTTTCGATAATGCATCTGCCAGTGTGTTCCGTCCAACAATTTAGCGACATGGTCAGGAGTTACATACGCCTCATTTCCACAATAGTATTATTCCGTGCCACCCATAATATCGACAAATGCAAATATAATTTGATCGATGGTTTATGCGCATAATTCGCTATCTGACTAATAACAGATTGTGTGTAGCGTCATGCTCTATGTATAATGCGGTTTAAATTACTCTGCTATTAATATCATTGTAACAGTCTTTATTCAAAAACAATCGTTTTGTCCGTTATAACGATATATTATTCTCGATCAGATACGGAAAAAAACATTTCGCCCAAACCTAATGTAAAAGATACTTTTTAATAGGCTTTAAAACATGAATACAGATGCCGTTTTAATATTCTGTGATGCCCATAACCCAAACGAATATACCCGAACATTTACGAAAAAAATGTACGTTAACAGATTCCACAGTATATCGTGAATAATTAGTAATCTCGGCACAGCGGATACAGCGAGAGTTAATTATTATTCTATTGTGTCACCCGAGTGACCCGAAATCATTATATTTACGTGCGTTATTATGATTAGTTTACTTTTTTTTTTTTTTTTTATTATTCGTTGCGGTCTATTGTTCTATTGTCGGCGAAATATTCACACGACATCCCGCGTTTAGCCTACATGACAGTGTCAACGATCTAAGCATTTTCGCTCACGCCATTTTATTTATTTGTTTTTTGGCTATCAGCTATTCGGTTCGTCCTTCAAATATTCGGCAATATTCTCTTTTAATCGACCGCCACGAATTATTGTCCGCGATACTATACTGTCAAACAAAAGTTGCGGCGTCCGGGTGATCTTCTCGGCTGGAAATTTGCCTACCCTTTATTTCCTTCCGAAACTGTGCTACGAGTCGACATCGCTTCTGGCCACACCACCGTACTCATCGAATCATCACGGACAGATTCGTTTTATCGTAAGTCCCTTTTCACGTATTCGTTAATAGGTGGGAGCTTAATACAGGTCGTTAACCGTCTGCAGAGTAAGAGTAACAATTTAAATTATACGTCATAATGTAAAACATAGCACCGCGGTAGTGTAATAGTATGGTTTACATGTTTTTTACATAAATTACCTGTAAAATATTTATTTATTTATTTGTGTAACAAAAAAACAGAAAACAAGTAATAATTATACTATTAATATACAAATTATATAAATATGTATATTATTATAAAATTATAATTATAATAATTAATATGGTTACGATAGAATAATCTAAACTTAAAAGTGGAATATTTCGTAAACAGGTTGACGGAAATCAAAAATTGCCTATATACCTACAGCATTTTACTAGGATATGGTACGATTAGTGGAAAGTTTGGTTCCTTTTTAGTCATTGAATTTTCTAATGAGACATTCAGTTAGTATATATGATATTGTCTGGTGTGGGTAACTGTAGTCACCGCTTGTGATTGTCACTACATTCCACTTGTGTATCAATGAGGTAGTCACATCTATCACATCTTGTGCGAATGCGATTAAAGATAGTCCACTCTTTCCTGGGGAGATTGTCTCCAAGAGGTTTTTTAAGGTATTTTTTTTTGCAGATACTCTGTGGATAAAAATGGAAAACTAAACAAAAATGTTTGAAAATTCGATAGCAGGTTCGTTATAAATCGTACTTAATGGCCAGAAAAAAAATTTAGTTTAATGTAGTATTTTTTTTTTATACTAGAATTTGAATACCAAATGTTTACGAAAACCATAACATATCGTGCGAAGTATGTATCTTTTAATAAAGTAATCGGGTAATCATGTAAAATACATTAATCGGTTTAAGTGTTACCCGAATGCCAACCGTTAAATAGGTGCTAGCCCTCGTTTTTTCACTTATAATTTATTGGCGTTTTCAAATAATTGTTTTATTGCATTCTTCTATCATAATATTATAATATTATTTTTTACCCTATTATAATACTTCAACATTTTACAAATGTAAAGGCGCGTGTATAATCCCGAAATACCATTTCACAGACCGTATAATTCTGGAATTGTATATCCGCGGACTATATTGTCACGGACCGTATTTATCAGGAAAAAAAAAATACGTAAAAAGTCTCGGACTGTAGAAATCCGAACAAAATAAATACACAAACCGTATTGTAGTGCTTCGTATCAGGTACTCCCGGAATCTAAATTTTAAGTGACACCATCAAGTATTGTGACGCATCGCCACAATTATAAAATATGGTTTAAAACTTTTAAGGGTTATCAAATAGGCAAACAAATGTTACGATTTGTAACTGTATAGGTGTTTACACATGAAACGGAGCAAAGCGCGGACAATTTTTAGGTGATTATTACTTTTAAAAAACTCTGAAATCCCAAAGTTCAGCCCTCCTTCCCAAATCTCAAATAATGTTCATGCATGTTATGTCGATACGAGGCCAAAACGAACACTCACATTGTATCAGCGAAAATACTGTTAGCAAGCATTGATATAATACCTACAGATTACAGTAACAGAGCATTGTGCCTGTCAAAATAATGTGTATTTTAAATTAAGTCTTTTTAATGATAATGTGTATGATTTTAAATTCTGAGCGGACCGATTTTACAATAATAAATATTTTTATTTTATGCGTGTATGAGTAAACGATTTATATTAGAAAAAAATGATTTGATGTACAAATTTAACATTTATAACTAGTAGGAAAATGAATCTAGTTGATACTTTTGGGAGATCGATTTTTTGTATTATTTATTACTATTTTATTAGATTCCCAGCGTAGCGAGAGAGCTATTACTTTTACAATGCTATTTATTTTTTTTTCTTCTTTGTTCTAGTTTGTGGACACGTTTTTTTTACTTGTAAACTTGCTCAGATTTGTACGTGTAACAACTTTTTTGTAAGCTCAAGTTGTCTAGATGGTACTTTAAACAAGTCATTTTTTGATTTTCGACGCCATTTTTTAAATAAAAGCACTTAAGTGGAAAAACGTACAATTCCACGATTTCTTTATTTTATAAAAACACGGACGACTTTTTCTACTAGAAAAAGTGATTTAACCAAAAAATCACATGTTACCTTTTTTGTTTCCTTTTTGATTTACTTTCTTACGGTGTCAAATCTTTTTAGCTACTTTTGAGATTTTAAGGAATTTTAATTTTTGGAAGTTTTTTTACTGTAATTCGGTTATAAATACACGTAAAGACTTGAAACCTGATGATAATACTTATATTGGACTTACCTAGACGTGGATTCAAAATATGTTGTGGAAAAAATTTGCAAAATCATCGGACGATTTTTTTTTTTTTACATCCATTTTTGTTAACTATTAAGAGTTAAATGATCTGCAGTATTATGTGAATTTTAATTTTTTAATTTTTCTTTTTAAAACTGGTTATACAGTATTATTGAATATAGTATATTGCATATAATTGCATATTAAGCCACTTTTTATAAGTAAATTTTCATCTTATTTGACATTTTTTAAATTCATATAATTCCGTATTCTAGAAATAAAAGTATTAATAATATCACGAGTTAAGAACACATGTTGTATAAAAAGTACTTTAGCTATATAAATAACACAATACAGTGCACGTAACAAGTTTCTTTTTATGTATTTTGTATTTATTATTTTTATTCATAAATATGTTATATGTTGTGCAATCGTAAAAGCAAAAGTTGAGTACGACATTTCAAAAAAGACGCATTGTAGTAGTATAATATGGACCTTGTCAGTTGTCAACGAAAAAAGTATCGATGGCCCACATTTACAACTGTGAAAAAAACCAAACTATCTCCAAGACGTGTCTGGCCTAACCTAACCTGATCACCTTGAAAACAGAATTACATAATCATATAAATGTTTAATGATGTTTAGAAGATTCCACACCTACGAATTTACTGTCTCGATCACTGTCTAGCAAGCAACACAGAAAAAATTGCATTACCCACTTGAACAAATATTTAAATTGTGACGCTTATTTTTAAATTAGAGTTTAAATGGTAACTAATACGGAAGTAGGTGATTTTATATTTTAGTTTTAGTATATATATATACACACTTACTTAAGTATCAAGAACTATAGATGATAATAGATGGTATAAGTAGAGTGAATTTATTTCAATAGGAACGTCTGTAAAATTATGGCACGATAGTAAAATAAAACAGCGATATGTATTCATAAGGCGATAGTTACTAGTTATAATTTTCTCTCAGCAGTAACTATCACGCGTGGACAATGCGATAGTAATTTTTACGGTGCTTACTATTGTTCTGTTTATAATGGCGAATATGAATGATATTAACGTGATATCACGGTAGAGAATTTCGTAATTGTCATAATACGAGTAGTTACTATCGTCGTGTCGTGTGGACCAAGTTTTCTAATATTCTTATGTCAAAATAACAGAATCTTGCGATTACGATGCGGAAAACTTCGTAATGTACAGAAGAATAAGATAATATTAATTTGCTTCTTTTGAAATTCAAATTTAATTATAATTAAAACTTGGACTATTTTGAATATTATATTACATTACAATTTATACATTCTTATCGTAACTTAACGGACACTTTTATTGAAACCATTCATCATTATTTATTTATTTTTGTTGGAGGGCACTAAGCTTTAGAGCCTAAAATTTATAACCATAGTACCGTCTTTTTTTCAGATTCTGAGTGAAACGAGGCATACAGTCATTAATGTGCATTTTTAATAAAAAAGTTATAATTCTCTGATAATGTAATAAAAGGTATTAAATCTGTAATAAATATAATATGAATAATTTGTTTACAACAAAACATCATTGATTATTTTGCATTACAAAATATGCATTTTCTAGACGACGACGTGTTATTTTCAAAATATTCCGTTGCTGTTTGACATTTTCGATGGATCTCGATGAATTGATCACAAACAATTGATCGCGGCTGCAAATTGGCTATCGGTTAAATTGATCGACAGAAGAAATTAAAAAACTAACAATACATTGGTGTTGTACCTTTTGACTTTTCTCCGGTTTGTACTATAAAATAATATTCCTTTTAAAATTATTAAATGATTTGTTGTAATACATTTTATTGGTTTTTCTATTGTTCCAATATTTTCCAAATAGTTATTATACCATATTAAATAAAAATTTAAAAACCTGATATTGAAGATAAATTAACATGGAATTAATATGACCACTTCAAAATATGCAGTTTACCTGTGCAGTCGTACCTATTCATTGAAAAGATTTGAAAATAATCACAGAAAATGGTCACAATCATGTACCATATATTGGAAAAATTGATGCAAGCAAAGCTGTTAACTTATACAAAAGTATTGCCACGCAAAATATAGAATTAAGTAGGTTCCCGTGCTATAAATTAATATAATATGTTATATGTTAATATTCTCTCCTTAGTTTTTATAACTCTAATTGAAATTAAACTTATTAATTAATGAATATAGTGTCCGGAAATTTACGCACTTGCATGTTTTTACTGAGTCCACCGAAAAGCTGCTAGATACGCTACAAATTTGAATCACTGCTGCATAACGAGTTCAAAAATGAAATTTAATTTTGTTTATTTGGCGTATTTTAAGGATCTTTACAAACATAATAATACAATATGCATATTTTGTAGATCATTACAATAATTGCGGAGTATAAACCGAACAAAATTCTCTATAAACCAATGATTATTATTTTTTTTTTTTTTTTAGTGACTTATTTGTAGACGTGATCAATTTTTCGCAACCAATATTACCAGATACCATTTTTAATATATTTTCTTTTTGTGTAAATGACAATAAATTTTTCAATTTATTTTTATCAAATTTTCTGTTAAGCAATTCGTTAAAACACAAACAATTGTAATTTATTTGCTATTTATAAGATAATCATTTTTTCAATTTAAATTTGTCGAAACAAACCGATCTTGCTTCAAAGTCGTTTTTCATTTGTACTAATTTATCATTGTGTTCAACTAAATTACCATATATATATATATTATTTTCAGAACTTAAAAAAGTGACTCGCCTACTGTAAAGAGTATGTCAATTTTCTTTAAATTTGTCTTATTATTATACTTTTCCCCAGTAATTGTTGATATTTGCTCCAAAAATTATACAGCATCCTTTTTCCTTTTTTTACCAATCCAGTCCTAGAAGCATGTATTAGTTTTACTATGATCTGTGTTCTTTTTTCTGTCTGTAAACAATTTTTCGAAAAGAAAACTTGCTCTGGTGTATCAAGTATAGCACCTTTTTTAAAAGAACATTTTATCCAGTTGATATATTAAATGAGTTAATTTCATTCATTATATTTTGTACGAACTATGTTTTTTACCAAAATTATTACTTAGTTTTTATTTGGTAGATACTACGTGAATATTATAATTGTTTGTCCTAACATAAATGCTTAACAATTTAACAGGAGGTTTATTATAAGTTTTACTTAGTAGACAAAAAGAAAAATAATAATAATGCAATTCGTTTTTTTTATTTGTATAATTGTTGTAATTTTAAATTTTAAAGAAAATCGTAAATACTACGGCCTTAAAAATCATGTTTAAAGGAACTTCGCTTAAAATTCTCTTTCATCAACAGTGGTTTATTGTTCCTTACAGATATGAACTAAATATCTTTACGTATCATACTTACCCAACTTTCCATCTACAATAGTGACACGCCCATCAGGAGTATCACCGTTCTTTTTTTTTTAATAGGTACCTAAATTGTCCTAGATCCAAAACTACGTGAGAAATTTAAAAATAAAAAGCTGTCTTAGGATAGTGAGAAATTGGGATGATAGGATATAGAGGGGAAATTAATTTGTATTTGTAAGCAATGATAAACCATTGTTTAATAAAAACTATTCTGAGCGGAGTTCAGTTGATAGTGATGCTTTGTCAACATTCAATAATATATATGCCATATTATGATAAAATAATTAAATAGTCATAATATATTCTTTAATAATATTTGTTTAATATTGTACTGGTTTTCCCGGTTTTTCCATTTTTCCCTGCGTTTTTCACATTTGCTAGGAAAACTCTTGGGAAAATCGAAAAATTATCTTCTTAAAGTACCACCCCAAGAAAATTTCATTTCAGAAAAGAGTCTACATTGTATACATCAGAATAAGCTTTCGGGTGGAAAAAGTGGTTTACATAAAAATAATTAAACATCTTTGTAAAACCAATATATTCTTTGCTTCACTCAGAATATAAAATAATTGACCTAACATTTAAATACTACAGTGTAGCGCAAAAGAGAAGAAAAAAAGTAATCAAACATTTATAATTATAGTAATCACTAAGTACCTTTTTAAATCTCAATAAATATATTTATATTTTATGTAATCAGAAATTTAAAAATTAAAATATATTTAAATTAATACTCCATGTAGATAAATGGGTATCTATCTATGGAATTTGTATTACATAGGTCGCCATTTGAAAATCAAAAGTAGGTAGTCATTTTAAGAATTTATCGAGAAAATTGTATTTAGTATATTTCATTCATTGTAATATAGTTAAGTCATTTTATTTTTAAAATATGTTCACATTTATATTTTACGCGCGTACGACGACAGAAATGTTTGCTCGCATCTCATTGTCTCATCCTCATACATCATAAGTAAAATAAGTCTTGAGAAGTAGACGCGATTTCGCAGATTATCGCCCGCGGATTTTATTAAGCCGGTGTACTAATAATCTAACATGCTTAAAAATACGACACTGTCACTGTAACATCATATAATATGTAGGTATATTAGTTTGAAAAGCAAAATGCATAAATCCATTAGATTCGTTTAGTTTTCGTATATCCTACCTAAATATAATACGTTTACTTGTAAATGATATAAACTGTAGGTGGCGGGGGGGGGAAACAATATTTTTTTTTTACTCTTATTCTTTTTTGATTAAAGATGAAAAAGTTCCTTGACGCATTCACCAGACACCTACGTGTAAAACTCGCGTACACGAATAAAATGTGATGTACAACGAGGTAGTTATTCAACCTATACAAATAGAAGGAAAACTCCACGACAAAAGAAAACATACAGACCTACTTCATTAAATTTATACTCCCGGTAAAATGTATTATAATAGGTAAACTAAGAGCTGCACACGTTAATTTACATTTGTTACACAACGTATCCTACATACACAACGTATAGTATTATTTTTATTCTTTTGTTTTTTTTTCTCACGGTTTATTTTAATTTTAATCGGTGTGACGTTACCGTTTGGTAAAGTCCAAAAACGTCGATTAAATCAATTCCTCCGGGATACACGCGTAATATTATTTTTTACAGAAACGTAAATACAATTTGTTGGTCTGACAATATTTTCCTGACACTTTTTCTTCGACCAGTATTAATGACTTATTGAAAATTTGTAGAGTGATTTCTAATTTCAGGTTGATCTAATTATGCCTGTGTAGTTGAAATATATTCAATATTTCCTTAGTGTTTATTCCATAATTTGTTTAAATTCGATACACGACAAAAGACTCTATCATGAATATAAAAAATTCGCGTAAATGTGATGTATAGTGGAAAGAGTGAGCTTATTGTTAAGTATCGTCCCAATGACGATTTGTATCTTTCAAGAGAGCATGTACTTGGCAACTTGGCAAGCTCTTCGAAAACTATGATACTCAACGCCATCAACAGTTTTTAAATTTTTAAATTATGTTGGTCCTCGAACATGTAGTAAAAGCATTTATTATGCGAACAATAACATTCTGTGTTTCTTGGGTGAACTGTGTATAATCGACCGAGATTAGTTGATTTGGGTTTTTCTCGCTTTCTTTTACTAAATGTATTGTTATTAAATGTATACTAATAGTTTGAACTTCAATGTATAATAGTGTTTTAGAAAAATTGTCTCGAGTACAGAGTTCAAAAAATGCCATAAAGGTGGTGTTTTTCACATTTTTTATTCTCTCATGAGTGTTTTGTTCATTTTAATAAACATGACGATAATTTTTAGGGTGAACTTTTTTAAATTATGATCTAGAGATTATCTATGAAGGTCTTTGGTTTTTTCGGCCATTATAAAGAATGGTCGTTTAATGATTTTATTTCATCCTCGTACCCGTACTTTCAGAATATTATAAACAACATTTGATTTTCAAACAAATTATATGGATTAGGGGAAGAGTACAAGAATGCAGGATTAGAGTAAGTAAGGAAAGTTTACTATCTAAAATGAATACGTAATTTACTACCCTTCACAGCTATTAATCCAGTCTAAATTTTAAACTACAATTTAGAACACATAAACGAAATTAACAAAATATAAACAAATTAATATTGTAAATAAAATCAACATTTTTTTGAATCTGAGTTGAAAAAGGGAAGGGTTTGCCATTTGAAAATCAAAATTTAACACTCGATTAAGGCATAAGGAGTAGAAATATAAGTTTAAAAATTGCGTTCAAATCATTGAATTGTTAACTAAACGATTGAAAAAAAAAAAAAAATTACAACAAATACAAATCAATATTTTACTTAAAATTCTCTGAGAAAATCGCTGGGTTATGGTACATAAATAAAAGTGACTCTGTATAAATATATGTTAATTTTATTGCACTACCATATTATTACTACAAACACGAAAGTCAAACCGGCAAAGAAACGAAATACAATTTTAATACAGGTTATAATCTTTCATAATACTTTTTGTTTAACGGTATATGTTATACATACGGACATGTAGGTATACATCAGATATTTTTAATAGATACCATTATAAATAAAATTCAATATTGTTTCGAGTGAAATTAGTCTCGACGATTTTTCCAATGATACGAAAACTCCGTATACTTCGTTAAAACGTATAATGATAATATTTCTTTTCTGTGCGACGCGTGTTATTAAACAATATACAAAAATGTATACGAGTAGACAAAGGGAGTCGATTTGTTATTGGATATAAGCAATAAAATGTAAGCAATTAATAATATTATTATTATTACAGTACCTCCCACAATGGTAATTGTAATATCTGAGTTCC